AGGGAGAAAAAACCTCAGGTAGAGAACTGAGCAATGAATTGCTATGATTTCCCATCAGCAGATGCATCTGATCTCAAATATCTGTTCCTGTAACTCAAATTGCAAAGCATTTTCCAAAAACCATCGGGTTGCAGAATTTTAAAAATGTATTTGATTGCCAGGTTTGCCAATTGGGTCAGTTTACCATGGCCTTATACTTCCCTCTTTTCAACTGGGGAAAAGGAAAAGGAGGCAGCCGGCAGCTCGTGATTGAAACACAATTCTCTCCGGCATGTAAGTCTTGGCGGTCATTTCTGTGTTATCTTGGCCACGGTCGCCTGACACTGTCTGCAGCGCCTGGGCCAAGGACTGCCCTTCCTGATGGTTGCCCTCTGGATTCCACCAGCAGTCAGAGTGAAAACCACAGCAGACCGTGCCCCTGGAGCTCTTCATGGCTTCTAGTTGCATTTGAGTCTCAGAAAAGTCTGCGAGAGAATTAGAGGAGGTGTCATTATCCCCATATCACAGATGGGGGAGCTGAGACTCAGATAACTGACTTATTTGAGGAAACACAGCTAGTTTATAGTGATCCTGAATCCTAATCCCTACCCATTTCTTAGTCCAGTGCTCTTTTCAGAACACATGGACATAGGAAAGTCAGTAAGGGAGAGTTTCCACAAGGCAGTTTCTCCTGGTCCCCAGACCCATAAGATTTGGGATTCGTCCATCTGATAGTCTTCTTTTTAATTGCCATAGTAAATGATCAGGTCACCGAAAAACTTTGTTTTCATCACCATCATTATAAAACAATAGCTATCAAAAATCAACACATAGGCATAGCCCATGGACAATAGTTTGGGGAAGGCCAGGGAAGGGGGCGGAGCGAGGTGGAGGGGGCGGTCAGTGCTTTCAGCAATAAAGATAAATTAAAAAATGATAATAAAAGTATAAGAAAGAGAATAAATAATAAAATAAAAGCAATAGAAAATTTGTAAGAGGCAACAAAAATCAATACATAGGATGGGTCATATTATAATATTAATATTCTTCACTACATACTATAAGACTATAAAATACAACTTATAATTTTATGGTTTAAGTCTAGGATTTTCCGTACTTATGGGTCATGAAATCAATTGAATAAAAAATTAAATTAAAAGAAAAAATAAGGATAGACGAGAATTGAAAATATCAGTGTTGCATATAGCAAAGGTTAAGTATTAATCGCTTTTGTTCATATATTATGTGTACTGGATCCCAAGGTTAAAATTATTTTGTACTAAATAGTCTTTCCCTTTTTCTTACTTTCCCTCTCTTTCCTCTTTCTCTTTTCTTGTTCCTTATCTCTCTCCTTCTCCATGTATAAGAAAAAGTACCCCAAAGCCCGCCATCTCTGTCCTATTTACAGGTACTATCACCCATCCTCCCCAACCCTCATTCTGCCTCACATTTCCTCGCCCAAGGGTCTGGAGTAGAGGCTGTTCTCAAGAGTAGATACCTAACGCACCTCCTTTCTCTGCTGAAAAGGTCCTTTTGCAGTGTGGCCTTCGAGATAGGGTTTGCAGTTCTCTCCATGTTTTATAAATAACTTGCTCTATCTCTAAACCATCACATTTCCCTTTCAGGCAAAACAACTCAAACTTGAAGAAATGAAACATCCAGGGAGAACCACATTGTGCTTCGTGATCCTTGTGATTTATTCTTCCCAAGTCACAGCGACCTGGAATATAGAGTCTACTGTTCCTCCTTTGGTGAGTAAATCCATGCATGCTGTATTTTTCCTTGTCACATTTTTCTGATATCCTGGGAATATCACAGACGGAAATGGCTTAAAAAAATTTTAAGGTCTGTGAGAAAATGTTGTAAATGGGGGTAGGAGAGGTAAACCTAAATGGACAGTAATGTATCTACTCATGGGTGACAACTTGTCTTGCTCTGAAATCAGGGGAACATCCCCCAGTCTTCCCTTTTTAACGAAACTGCCACCTCTAGGCCTGAAGCTAAACTCTGTGAAACAGACAACAGTGACTGTAAGGCAGATTTTGAGGATTGAAAAGGATGGATGTTCTCAAAGGATTCATTGTAACTTGAGCATCAGACTACAGCACATTTCAAAAGGTGTTCATTGTGTGTGATAATCATGGCTTGAGGTAGCCAAAGGGGCAGAGATATCTTCAAGCTTTTTGTTGACAAATTATCCAGGTAGTTTTGTCTTTGGAAAGTTAATGGGAATTTTCCTTAACTAAAGGGGTGATAAGTGCTGTCTTATTATTATTTTTTGAACATTATTGGGTTATTCCTTCCTTAGCTTACTCCATATATCAGAGATAGAATATGTGATGGGTTATGAAGCTTGGGAGATTAATGGAGTTCTCCCTGTGTTTCAGTTTCTTCCTCTATAAAACAATGATAATAATGGCACTGATTTCCTATGACTGCTGTGAGAATTAAATTAGTTAATATTTATAAGCTGCCTTAGAATAGTGCCTGGCACATGTTAATTACTGTAGCACTGTTTGCTATTATTATTTCTTCTGCTGTAATGTTTTTTTCTGCTGATTTTTAAAGAAGATATTTTAGTGCTACTTTATTTAGTCTGTCACCATTGTTATGGCTTCACTGGTTGATTTTAGCCTTGGAGATGTCTCTTTTTGCCGTGTTTGGCCCCTTTTAATTTAATTCATTGTCTATCCTGTCTTTGTATTGTGTTCGCCCGATCTTTGTCCTTTATTTTTTGTTTAGCCTTTCATATATCACTTTGCTTTAATAGTTCTTTTATAAACAACATGTGTTGAAGGCTTTTTTTCCCCATTTAAATCAAACCTGAGTGAACCTGACTTTGATTGTGGTGTATAATTTATTCACATTAATGTCATATTTAAAATGTTTGGTCCTACTTTCAGGATTTTGTTTTATGACTTTATGCATGTCCTATTTTCTGTTTTCATGTCTTTCATCATTTCACCTAGGTTTTCTTTGTCTTTTTTTTAATGTCTCTGCTGACTTGGGCTGTATACTTTGTGTGCAGAGTGTGACCTGGACAATTATGTGCAGCAAGTGTGCACATATATGGTACAGAGGGAAATGCTTACATTTCCTGTGGATTTACTGGGTCAGTGCAGAGCTCTAGTTACCCCAGGCACGTGGGGGGAGAAAGCCTTTAAAGCATGAGGGGATCACAGCAATGGGGTTAGCTTTACCTCTGCTCCAGGGCCCTAGTGCCCTCCCATTGTGCCAGGTTGACCCTCATTGCAGAGGCCCTAGCAAAGCCTCTCCGTCTGCCTGGTGGCACAGGCTGTCAGGGGATAAACCCTGGTCTCCAAGAGCTGCTAGTAGACTTTGAACTTGATCTTCCTGGAAGGTCTCCTCCTTCCAAAAGGCCCCCCCCTTTTCTTCCTAGATCTGCATTCAAGATATATCTTCATACAGCCCAAAGGCCAAAGACCCCCATAGGAGAGGTACACTTGAGCCCTTCTCATCAGCTTACACTGCTCTAAGCTGCCACCCAGCTTCCATGGCTGGCCGTCTATCATGTTAAATGCATAGTGATGAGCTTTTAAAAGACAATTATAGCTTTTGAAATAAAATTCACCATTTTGACAATTTTTAAGTGTGTAGTTCAGTACTGTTAAATATACTCACATGGTCATGCAACCAATCTGCAGAACTTTTTCATTTTGCAAAACTGAAAATCTATACCTTATAAATAGCAGCTCCCCACTGTCCCCTTCCCTCAGCACTTGGCAACCATTGTTCTACTTCATCTCTATAATTTTGACTATTCCAAGTACTTCCTATAAGTGGAATTGCACAGTATTTGTCTTTTGGTGGCTGGCTTACTTCACCTAGCAGAAGGTCCTAAAAATGTGTCTATGTGATAATAAACATCAGAATTTAGTTCTTTTCCTAAGACTGAATAATGATCCACTGATGTATATCTACCTGTTCTTTATTCCTGTATCCATCAATGGACACTTGGGTTGCTTTCACCTCTTGGCCATTGAGAATAAAGCTACTATAAACATGGGTGTGCAAATGGGGGGGGGGCTTTTGAGGTGGATGATGTACTTTCTCAAACTTCAATGTGCACATGAATCCACCTGGGGACCTTTTTAAAATTCAGATTTCAACTCAGGAGGAAGGCTGGGGGGTGGGGGGAGATGTTTTATTTCTGACACTTATCCCTGTTCCAGTGAGCATACTTTCAGTAGCAAGGCTGTCCACTCTCAACTGTGACCTCAGCCCTGAGTCTGAAGCCCAGCTCTGACCTTCACTAGCTTTGGAAAGAGTCACATTTCTTTATCTCCCTTAACCTGTTTCCCCTACATGGTATGAGAATAAATAGTATCTCCTCATCAACTGGTTGGGAGGATTAAATGTCGCACACATGTATGTTTTAGCACAGTGACAGACACAGAGCAAGTACTTAAGATTTAGTAGTTATTTTTACTATTCAAGTACAAATAAACCTGTGTTAATTAATATGCTTGTGCGAGGAGAGATTCCAGCAGGATCCTTGTTGAGATAATTATTTAATACTAGTGCCTGGGTGCATGGATTAGTGTACATTGAAAGGAAATTAATTAGAAGATGGCTGGTGGGGTGGAACTGGGCGAGATGGGCCAGACACACATTGGAGCCAACCTCCCAAGGTCCCTCCCCGGTCAGCCACACCTGGGGTGGTGCTGTGGCTCAGCTCAAAGGTTGTCTGCAGAATGAGTGGGGTCCCTCCAGCAGGTGGGGTCCCTCAGCCTGGCCTGCGGGGATCAGACCAAAACCGGCTCTCTGACATCCCCAAGGGGTCCCAGATTGTGAGAGGGAGGTTCTTGGGTGATGCATCCCAGAATAGGGTTCCCTCCTCTCTGGTTCCGGTGCATCACCCAAGAACCGCAGCTGCCAAGTCACCACACTCAGCAGCTCCTGCATTGAGTGTCTGCCCCCTGGTGGTCAGTGCACATCATAGCTACCAGTCAGACAGTTGGACGGTCACTTAGCCTTTTATATATACAGAATGAGGCAAAGATCTTAAACCTGGGATTCCAGGTCCAGGCAAAGAGGAGTGAGGGACAGGGCCTTGACAAAGAGGGGTGAGATCTGGCAACAGCAGTGACCTTTGAGGATCCCTTATCATCAGGTTCCATGGGAATTTTCTTTCTACACATAAAAGTCACCTCTTATTCCTGACTCACTGTCTACACCCTCTTCAGGCCACAGCCCCACCTCCATGGTTGTTTGTAAAGTCATGTGGAACAGGTGGGGCGTTTCCTGGAATCGCTGACCTCGGGTCTTCCGGCTGAAGCTTGGCCATCAGGAAATCCCCTCTGGAGAAGCTGCCCATTGTCGCTCAGACACTCGCCTGGGTACTTCTAGGTGGGCAAGCTGAGGGAGGTCCGGAGGGAGGCTCTGTTATCTTGTCCAGAGTAAACATTTATCTCAGCAGTGGGAGCCCCTGGCAGGAGCCCCTGGCAGGATCTATGTTCCCTCATGAGTCCTCAGTGCCCAAAGTTTAAGAAAAATTGGAAGTTCTGGAGTCTCAGAGGTCCTAGAACGGGGTGATATGAGGACTCAGGAGGACGAAGCTACCTCCACCCCCCATGAGCCCCAGGCCAGCTGGATACGCGGACACACACACCACAGCTAGAGACTTCACACACATGTTCCCCAGCCCAGTATCTTCCACAAGAAGCCTAGGTTTAGAGTGGGCATAGCTTTTCCAACCAGGAAGAGCAGTGGTGGTGAGACTCCAGCATTTGCCTCATGGAAGCCCAGGCCCCGAAACCTGGCAGCCAGTCCTCTGCTCCTTCTCAAACCTGGGAGAGCTACCGCTACCATGGGGGAGCTCCTGGGAGGTTTTATTGCCTTCAGTATATTTTCCCTCCATTCCTCCCAAAGATTGCAGGGCTCACAATAAAATGTAGGTTATTCTCACAAAAAGCTGTGAATGCTCATTGGGCAATAGAGAGGCAGTAGGTGACAGAGTTGTGGGAGCAGCAAACACTTTGCAAAGATGTTCCCTGAAAGTTCCCAATAATCACCAGAGAGTCAGGAACTAGTTCAGAAGCAGTGATTCTCAAAGGTTGGCCTCGCACGAGAGGATATATGGTTAAAAAGGCAGTTTTCTTCACACGCACCCCCTCCCAGACCTGCTAAATCAGATTGCAGAGAGGAGAGGCAAGTTACCCTTAAGCTCACAAAGGTTTCAAATACTTTGCATGAGAGCATTGCAATGTATCTTCATTTTAGCGGACGACTGCCAGCACCAATCTTTACCCCACTGGGAAATGGAGCAAATAACATCTCCACCGGGGACAGCTGACCAAAGGTCACCGCCAGTGGCCACCTTCTCCCAGGCTGAGTCTCCCAACCGCAGCCCATTAAGTGTCAACCGAGAAAAGCTTCTGATGGCCCCCACTCCCCACGCCCCACGGCCAGGCCCCAGGGAGGAGGGAGGCAGGAATGTAGCGGAAGACCCTTCCCCTCCGCCTGGGCACAGGGCCAACGCAGGCTCCAGGGGAAGCCGGCAGGAACCAGCCCTGGGTGTGGACGCTGCTCCTTCTGGTTTCTCATATTCAGCGCAGCTGAAATAACCTCACCGCGAGCGAAGTAGCATCTGGGCTTCTAAAATTCCAATCGTCACCCATCACTGCTCTAGTCATTCTTCAAGAACATTGATGAACTGTCAGGTATAGTTTCTCCCCAGTTCCCATGGATGTTAATACTCATCATAGAAAAGAAGGGGGATGGGAAGAGGCAGTAGATAAAAAATACAAGAGAAAGACAGAGTGGGTCCCTGAGACAAACCCACAGTTTTCTGGAGAATCTCCTGATTAAATGATGCTTGTGTGGACAGCTGCAGACGTGGAGCCAGGCTAGCTAGGTTCAAATCCTGACTCTGCTATTTAAGGGCTGTGTGACCTTTGCCAGGTTATTGGACCTCTCTGTGCCTGTTTTCTCATCAGTGAAATGTGGGAAATGGCAGTACCATGGGCTGTTGTGAGAATTAAATAAGTTAGCATACATCGAGTGCTTAATAGTATCTGGCACAGGATGTTGAACACATCTTAGGAATTATTATTTTTGTTAGTGTTATGATGTGAGATAACTAGGAAATAATGGTAGACAACGCAGATAGCAGAATGAGCCCTGCCTCGGGTGAGGTTCATAGGTGTGTGGAGTTCACGGGAAAGAACACGCCTCTGTGGGCAGGAGTTGTCTGGGGAGGCCTCAGAAAGGCAGGGCTTTTCAATTGACCCTTAAAGGGGCTTCGGATTGGGAAGAACATCCACAGGGAGATCCACCTGGAGGCAGGCAGAGCTAAGAGACCTGTTTCAGATCCCGGTGTGGTTACCCGCTGTGGAGCTGGCATTGCTCCCAACAGGAAAGCCCATCAATGTCAGTTCCTAAACCAGAAGCCACGTGATGACCGGAGATGAGCTTTACAGAGATGCGGCAGGAGGCCGTGTGCAGAAAGAGAGGCCCGTGGTCCATGGGAATGGTGCCCCAGAACAATGTGAAGCCCTGTCTCGGAATAGCATTTACTATGTCACCAAAACTAGTTTCCGTGCCGTAGACTTATTAAGCATTTGACAATCCCCTGATGCAGGCTATTTTTATCCCTGTGTTATAGGTCAGTACTGGGGCACAGAGAGGTGAGATAACTTGCCCAAGGTCACACAGCCATCTTATGGCAGGGCTCAGATTTGAAGCCACTGTCTGGGGAGTTCTTGTTTTTAACTATTGTGCCTTGTGATATAATTAACATTCATTAAGAGCTTACTTACTATGTACCACATTATAGTTCACTTAATTCTCATAACAATTCTATAAGGTCAGTACCATTATATTCTGTTTCACAGAAAAGAAAACCAAGGCTCAGGGAGGACAAATAAATTACTCAAAGTCACACATAAATTCCTCAAAGTCACATAGCGAGTCAGTGGCACAGCTTTGTAGCCAGGCAGGCTGACTCTGGAGCTGGCTCTAGGGTCCCTGCCACAGAAAGCAGCCATTGGGAAAAAAAGGAGCCGGGAAGGAGAGAATCACTTCTAAGCATGGACCATCTAAATGGCCCTAGTGCTGCAGGAGTGCTCCCGTGGGGACAGGCGGAGTGTCAAGAAGAGGCCGTGAGACTTGTCGAAAAGGCCAAAGGAATGAGTCAGGGTTCCAGTCATGGGCAAGCAGCACAAGCTGACGACACCAGGATTTATACTTCTTGTTAGGACTCACATGCAGGAACTCTGAGAAACTCAGACACGCTGATGTCTTCCACTCCTGGGTCTAGAGACTGGTCTATAGAAAGTGAATTCCCAGGTCACAGTACAGAGCCGAGTCCATGTCATTTTCCTGACCACTGAGTTGCTGTCCGCCCCGCACTCACTCACTGGGCACAAGGAGCTAACACCAACTCTGCAGCCCTAAACCCAGCTCTAACATGTGGGGCATGGGGGCAGAACGCCATAGTGGAAAGATATCTCTATCACTAACTGACAATTTTCTAAAATGTTCTTTCAGAATCTCCAGGAGCATGAACTGGCAAGGGAGGAGCCACTGAGGCAGAAACGAGCGGGTATGTAAACTCTTTCTTGTCAATCACTTCTAGTGAGTCCATTAAATGATATTGGCTCTAACTTTTCAAAACAGTGTGATCTACAATTCAGTCTCAATATCTAGAAGTAATTACAAAAAAACTCCATTCTCTACCAAATGGCGTTAAAGGAATCTTAGCACATTCTGATGCCCCTTTCCCCCTCCCACCACCTGTGCCCATCTCCTCAGCTGCCCTCCACCCCCAAAAGCCTGCTTCTCTACTCTCAACCCTGCAGCCTTTCCTTTTGCCTTTTTAAAAAACCTCTTCGATTCTCACTTATCACTTTATGGATCCACTTAACCACTAGACTCAAGTCCTTCTCCACTGTCTCCCACTCTAATTTTCCCACTAAATTTCAAAAGCTGGCCTGGAAAATAGAGGACTCTGCCCACTGCAAGGTAGAGGGCAGTGAGAGCTATAAACACCTCCATGTTCAGTGATCCTTGAGGCCTTGTCCCACGTGCAGGTCCTGGACGGGTGTCAGTGTACATCTGCAGGCTGGTTTTTCCTAGAACCAAATTCTCCTACTTTTCTCATAGGAACCTTTCAAAAGCATCATCCTGATGCTTTTATTTCCCTGCATAAAATTCTTCATGGGCTCCCAATTGCCTTGAAGATAAAATCCAATTACCTGCTTGAGTCCTACGGGATGGACCCCGCCTGCCTTTCCCACATGTTCTATTCCTGTTCCCTTTCACACAGCCAGTGCCCTGCCCACCATCCCCCTTTGCTTGTCCAAGGGACTCTGACTTAAGTCTCAATTCACAGGGGTTCCTGCCATGTAAGGTCCTCCATCAAATCCCAGACAGGGTGGGGCTGCTCTCTGGGTTCCCATTGCCCTCGATACATTCCCATAGCACAACAGTGTCCCAATGCTTTGTCATGCTGCTTCCTGTTTGTCATCCCTAGTAGACGTGAGCGCCCCTGAATTCTCTTCCTCGCCGTAGCCTGGCTTCTAGCCCAGTCTCTCAATAGGTGAGTGAACAAATGAAGCTAGAGTGCACGTCTCTGTATAGCTGCCCCTTTGTGAGTTCAGAGAATCTGTTCCCATTGTTGAGTCTGCTGGCCTGTGGCTACACCAACTGTGCAGAAGGTAGAACTTCTTACGTCGAGCATTGTGATGGGATCATTTTCCAGATGTGCTGTGACTTGCTCTGCTCAGTCTTGTGGTCTGAAAGACTGGCTGGGCTGCTGAAGGGAGTAGGCTTGTCAGAGGTCAGGGTGGAGGTGTCTGTTAGCGCCCTCACAGCTCAGCAGCCAGACCCCACTGCCATGAAACTAGAACCTGACCACATTTTTTCAAGCTCCCAAAATCCTCATTGGATGGTCATACCACTGAGAATTTTCTTTTCCTTCCCTTATTTTTCTTTTCGTTTTCTTTTTCCTTTCTCTTCTCTTTCTGCTTCTGTTTTAGCCTTGTTTCCTATCCCTATGGGATTCTCACTCCCCGTTTCTGCCCTCCTTGGTTGAAGTGGTCTGCAGCGCAGATGGCACTTTCTGTGCTTCAAAAGGAGTATCATTATGGCCCTAGCCCAGTAGGCTCAGTGGATAGAGCATCGGGTCCCAGGTTCGATTCTGGTCAAGGGCACGTACCTTGGTTGCAGGCTTGATCCCTGGCCCTGCTTCAGGTGTGTGCAGGAGGCAACCAATGGATGTCTCTCTCACATCAATGTTTCTCTCTCTGTCTCTCTCCCTCCCTTCCACTCTCTCTACAAGTCAATGGAAAAATATCCTCAGGTGAGGATTAATGAAAAAAATTAAAATAAAAAATAATAAAATAAAAAGAGCATCATTATGTCTACCCCTACTTCCTGCCCCCTGTGACAGGCACGGGGCCACAGGTGCCCCCATGCAGCACTTTGAAAGACTTTTCTTTTTTTAAAATCAAACTATTGGAGGGTGAGTTCTAGCTCCAGGTTCCTGCCAGCTTCTTCTAGATCTTGGCTACCCGCTTCCCCAGGGACAGTGGGGGACCCACAGCTTTAAAAGTAACATCTTCCTGTACTTCCCTCAGCTGTTTGTGACCCATGGCAACAGCACGAGAGGTTAGTCCGTGGGGAGGAAACCGCTTCCACATCTAAGGGTTTGACATTCCACAATTTTTCCAGACGTGCTTTCATTAAAAACTCTCATGATGATGATAAATCACCATGAAAACCCCTTTTCCATTTATTACATATGGTCCTCTGTGCTCTCACGCCTCCAGAGTCCTTTGGGATTTGTTAATCACTCAACTCGCCATTTGCAGGAGATGGATCGGCCTCTGTACTTTTACTAAATGATTGAAATAAGAAATGGCCATGAGCCCTCGCTGGTTTGACTCAGTGGATAGAACATCAGCCCACAGACTGAAGGGTCTCATGTTTCATTCCTGACCAAGGGCACGTACCTCGTTTGCAGGCTCACATCAATGTTTCTCTCTGTCACTCCCCCTCCTTCCACTCTCTCAAAAAATGAATGGGAAAAGTATCCTTGGGTGAGGATTAACAGGAAGGAAGGTAGGAAGGAAGGAAGGAAGGTAGGAAGGAAGGAAGGTAGGAAGGAAGGAAGGTAGGAAGGAAGGAAGGTAGGAAGGAAGGAAGGTAGGAAGGAAGGAAGGTAGGAAGGAAGGAAGGAAGGAAGGAAGGGCCATGGAGAGGCCCAGGCACTATGCAACAGATACTTGAAATGTGAGTTGCAGATAAGAGCGTGACTATGAGAGGAAGCAATAGGAGGGTTACATGCGGTACAGGCCACACGGAGGTTTCTGTTCTGCCTGGTGTGTGAAGTTAGCGAGCTGAAAGCACTGCCCTCTGGTTCTCAGAGTGGTATTCTCTTTCATGTATACGCACAGCACCCTTTCTGGAGCCTTAACGTCAGAAAGGCTCAAACAGTGGTTCCGAGAGAAAGAGAATTCTCAAAAGAAATTTCTTTTGAGACACTGGGCCAAGTCTTTAGAGCTTGGGATAGAATTGTCTTTAAAGATTGGATCAATACTCATATTTATTCTGAGAACACTGTGGACTTTTTCCTAACTCATTTTGCTCAGTTATATAACTTCTTGAGCCCTTGATATATATTTATATCACACACACATATATGTCACATCTATCACACAAAACCACATATATACAGTGCTCTGAGCAGGCCCTGGTGGTGGCAGAGCGAGAAGAAAGGCCGGATGCTCTCAGCCTGGTGTTTGAGTTTGGTTTCAGAGTTGACCTTTAATACCTGGAGTGCTTTTTCTTTCAATCTCTGATTAGTGTTGTCTGTCTGTTTGTTTGTTTGTTTGTTTAACACTCTCCAAGCTGAGACCTAATGGAAATAGCAGCTTTTGCTTAAACTACCAGCAGACATTGGCAAAGAATAGAATCATTAATTTTTTTTAATTCTTACCCAAGGATGTTTTACTGATTTTAGAGAGAGGGGAAAGGAAAGAGAGAGAGAGAGAGAGAGAAAGAGAGAGAGAGAGAAGCATCGATGTGAAAGAGAAACATTGGTCAGTTGTCTCCCGTATGCACCCCCACTGGGTATCAAACCCAAAACCTAGATATGTGCCCTGACTGGGAATTGAACCAACAATCTTTCAGTACGTGGGATGACACTCCAACCAACCGAGCCACACCACCAGGGCTCATTACATTTTTAAAAATCAGTATTATTGTTTCTATCTGCTGTTTCAGAATGATTACAATATGCCAGACAATTTGCTAGGGGTCTGCATTCAGTATCCAACTCCTTAACAACAACTCTGCAGAGATAATATTACTCCTACTTTGCAGATGAGCAAAATGTGGCTCACAGCGGTTAATGCCTGCCCAATTAAGAAGGCATTCCACCCAGCTCTCTCTGGCTCAAAGTCCATGTTCAGAGTTAAGAGTCATAGTTCTCAACCTATGTTTCTGGCCTGTAAGATTCCATCCCATGATTCTTGGTGCCCCTTTGTAGAGCAAGGAGCAGTGGGACCACTGTCCTCCCTGCACTCAGAAAAGAACTTTATATGAGGCTGACTTATTTTTTTTTTTTACCCATGCCAGCCGTACACATTTATTATTATTCATGCATGGTCAAAAGACTCACAAAGCCCATTATTATCAGTATAACCATACATATGAAATATCACTTAGTGACATGGAGTGAAAACAACAGCTTTATATATATTTAAAAAGACAGACACATACACACATTCTCTTTCAAGTGTTCACCATACACTGCTACACAAGCAGGAGGCATGGAGCTGCAGGAGTTACAATATACATGACACGTGGAAATGTCTCAAGCATAAAAACCACACTTAAGTTGCAAAAATAAAGTTTCTTTCTTCAAACATTTTGATCTGGGCTCCAGCAAAGCACCAATGATTTTCATAGATTAGAGGAATGAACAATGCATTTCATCCCCACCCCTTAAATAAAAAGTCTACAGCAGATCTGTTTCATCCTTTGAAGATGATTAGTCAGTAGAATAGATTCTTTTCCCCAGACTGCACAACCCAGTGTTTTACGACACAGTGCTTCCCCCTCCCCTCCATCCACACCTGCCAGGTAAGCCAGAGTCAGGGGTTCTGGTGGTTGACCCCTATGAGAACAAACCTTTCTAAAATCTAAAGGGAGAACTTTGACCATGATGCTGCCAAATTGTTACCTACTAGAACATGCCAAGAAAGCTACAGAACTATGGGGGAGAAATAAGAGAGCCAAACCCAGTGGTAAAGATGCATTGTCCTCTTTGCTCAAGAGAAAGCCACACCCAACCTCATGTCCCCTGGGTGAAGTTAGCAGCCTTCAGTCTTTTGCAGGTGGGAGATTAATTTATGGATCTAATTTGGCTCTGACTTTTGAGAAGCCATAATTCCTATTAGACTTGCCGGGCAAAAGTAGTATTGTTTGCTTTAACAGCTGTGATTAAGACAGAACTGCTTGTCTCAGTTTGTGGCCAACTTTCCAGAAAGGTCTCTTAAAGATAAGTGCCGTGTGGTAAGCAGTGATTTATGGGGAAGGAGAGGGGAAATCCTGGCTGGTTTGTGCCTTCTGGGCCTGCAGATAGGCCTCCATCTGTGACACGGGTGACACCTGGAATGTGCTACCTTCCACTGGGGCATCGGTGAGTCAGGAAAATTCAGACAAACAACACCAGGGCACAGGAGCCAAGAAAAAGAAAACACATTAAACTGTCTGGAATCAGGTGGCCCAGGGGCAGCAGACAAGTATGGAAGCCTCTTAACACACCCACAGAGGGGTGGGGGAACAGCCCTGCATTCCCCCCTGGTACCTTGTAGCTGAGACAGGACAGAAGAATCACTTTCCTGCAAGTCCTCAGGTTTGGGACAGAGAAGGAGGCAGAGATTGGCATTTCTATTCAAACTGTAGGCCTGTCTGAGGCTGTGAGAAGAATATGCCCTGTGTCCCCAGCACCAAGCACAGTGCCTGGGAGGTAGCCACTCAATATATAGTAATGTTACTTATAAATCAACTAGAGGCCCGGAGCATGGATTCGTGCACACTGAAAGGAAATTAATTAGAAGAAATATTTTAGAGGCCAGGGAGGGACCATGGGAGGTTGGCTCCAGGGTGTGTCCGGCCTGTCTTGCCCAGTCCTGATTGGCCGGACCCCAGCAGCAAGTTAACCTACCAGTAGGAGCATTTTCCCCCTGGTGGTCAGTGCGTGTCATATCGACTGGTTGAATGGTCAGACACTTAACATATCAGGCTGTTATATATATAGATAAACCAAGGAACAAACCAACTGAGCAAGGGTCAGTGTCAAAATCCACAAATTTCAATGGAGGTGGGTCATTGTGTCTTTCCTCACTGTGGATTTCTAAGACATTTATTATGCTGACCCAAATGGAGCAAAGTTTTAGCTAATTCTTCCATTTATCATTAATAATTTTTCCTTTGAGTTTAACATTATTTCAAAACATACTTTGGGAATTGCACTTTTCCCAAAGACACATCTAACAATAATACCTCATAATTTTATGGTCCTTTAGGATTTACAGAGTGGTCATTTTCATTATCTTCTCCTGTTTGAGTCATGGCAGGGTATAGTTAAAATAAAATGGACTTTGGAGTCAGAAAAATGTAGCTTCAAATCCCAGTTCTAAGATTTGCTGTCCATATGGTTTCAGTTTTGTCATCTGCAAAATGGGGGTTTGCATACTGTTCTCATGGCCCTCGAACCCAGCAGGTAATGGATAAGTGGCAGCTGCTGTTATTAGTGTTGCTATCATTATGATCACCTGGGATCTATTCGGTATCCCTGAAGAAAGAGGTGAGCAAGTGTCAGTTCTCTCAAAGCAAAAGAGGAAAAATAAGAATAAGCAGATATGCTTGGAGACTGCACGATTGTTCCCCCATAGGAGCACCAGCAGACGGTGTTGAAAACAAAAAGCCAAGCTAAAGCCAAGAACAAACTTATGGGTTCATATTGGTTCTCCCAGATCACCTTCTAGGTTTCTTCATTTGGATTCGAATGTTAGACCCCAAACTTGCTTGATCACCAGAAGCACCTGTGGGAATTGGGAAAAATTCACAGTTCTGGGCCTCCCCCATCAAGACTCTACTTTGGCTCACATAGGCTGAAGCTCCAACATATCTGTGTGTGTAGAATTCCCTAGGTGGGTGTAATCATCAGTCAAGTGTGGGCGACACTGGAATAAGGGATTCCCAATGGCAAGCCCGAAGCCTTCGGAGTTACTAGGGTATTTATTTATTTATTTATTTTTAGCCTGTTTGGAAGAACTGGCCATTTTGAAGGAGAAGATGTTTCCTTTTCTATTAGAGATTCTCTTACTTGCCAGTCTTTGATCAGGGAGAAGTGATGCTCGGGCCAAGGGTTACTCTGAAACTCCTTTAGAAGTTAGTGAACATAAAAGGTGGATAAGGGACAGAGGGCCTTAGAGGCTGGTGCTCTTATTAGTAGTTGCACAGATCCCATAGACTGGGACTCGCTAGAGGCACAGGAACTTTCCTCTTAGCATTTTAAGTTTTTGGCTCAGCTCCCTGGAAGATCTCAGCGGAAGAACTCACTGCCTTGGTTTCAGTGGGGAGTGATGACATCCATGAATCACCACGTGCTTTCCAGGCCCATGCTTGTTCTGCAATTAAGTCTGCAAAGAGCACAGAGTGGTGGGCTCATGGGTAGGAGGTAGACAGGGCCCTCAGACAGACATTAACATTATGCTGCGATCAGACCCTGGGATGCAACAATGCGGATGATGAAGTGGGGGATATGGGATTGTTATAGACCTCATTCATCTCAAAAGCAGCTCCCGTCCAGGAAATCCTGTTTACATTCATGGAAGGAGAGTCAACTGACCACAGCAAAGAGGATCCTGGAGCTAGGAATCCTCTGGAGGGTATAAATATTGCTGCATTACTTTTCAGGAAAAAGAATGTGCTCTAAGGAAGACCTGCCCTCTTTGCAAATGTCCCCAGGGGCAACATACTGTGTCTAGAGTTCAGATCACATAAATTAAGATAAGCAGTCCCCCAGACCACCACCCCGAAGCTTGTTTTCATTGCAAAACCATTTGAGAATCAGAAAAAAAGAAAACCAGGAAATTTGAAGCAACAGCATAGCATCATGACAGACTGAGATTGGGTTTTAAAAGTCACCTGTTCTGCAGGAAATATATTTTTATAAGGAGAAAATACACCTTAAAGTGCATTCCTTTTTGTTTTAATCTTCACCCGAGGATATGTATTCCATTGCTTTTCAGAGAGAGTGAGTGGAAGGGAAGGAGGGAGGAGGAGAGAGAAACATCCATGTGAGATAGACACATTGACTGGTTGCCTCCAGCACACACCCCAACTTGGGAGTGGTGAGGAGTGAACCCAAGACCCTTCGTTATGTGGGCCGATGCTCTAACCACTGAGCAGCACCAGCCAGGGCAAAGTGCATTCTTAATTTTAAGAAAATCTGCATTTCTACAGTTTGTGTTAATTATATTAAGTTGAATGATGCCAAAAATGAAATAATTCTCAACAAGGTTGGTGACTTAAACCAACATGCTAAGACAAACATAGTTTGCAACTGTAAGTGAACAAACATTATGATTTTCTACCATAAACATTTATCAACTGGAATTTCCCATAGTAAACTTACTCTACTTTAGTGTTTCACATAAATAATCCTTGGAAACATTGAAAGCAAATCTTGCAATTTTGTGGGAGACATTCTTTGCCCTCTTAGAAAATAGACGTAGAATTTTTCATTGTATGGTAAAATATGCATCATAGGTCCAGATTTAACTTAAATTTTAAGGTAATCGCTTTGTAGGTATTTACCTATCTTTTTCTTATTTGACTGACAAAATAAAATAGAACACAACTTGCCTTCTCAATGTGTCTGTAAAAAATTTTCTTAATTTTTGAAGGTTG